TTGTAAAAAGTCACATTCTGCTTATCCTCCTTCAGAATTGGCCATTTACGCTGTAAGGTTTTTCGCCTACGCCTTCAACCCACCACTTAATTTCTATGACTTATCATTTTACTCACCAGGAGGAATACTGGGCTACGATTTGCATCCTAATATTTTCTGAAGCAATTGGGGTAACTTCTTTTAATAAGGTAGTAGCTTGGTCATTACTGTGTGCTTGAGGTTATGGGTTCGATATTCTTCTTTGTCCATGTAGTGACACATGCAACGATTAGTATTGTGTTCTGATTTAAAATGCAGGAGGCGTGCATTAATTCATCGCCCTCCTGCATAATGCCTGCATATTTGTCTTCGAAGGTAATTTTCTCAAGTATGGCTACAGACCTCAGATTGCAAGTGCTCTTTTCAATTTTTTAATTTAACGACCTTTTCAATTTGCCTTCAAACGAAAGTCAGAGGCAATTCTTCTGAAGCTTTTAATTCTAGTTCCCAAAGTGTAAAAGGAAGTTGATAAATACATCAAAATTTACTGAGCGAATTTTAATGACAGTTTAATTAAGTAAAGAAACTATTTTTAAGCGGCTATTGTACGAAAATCGCATTCTTCCACTTCTCTTATTGACCAAAATTAATCGGTGCGCTTGACCATCCATCGCTAATTTAGTGGAGTAACACTATTAATTTGTAGTGCATTTATCCTGTTTACTTAATTAAATGCTCACAATTCGCACCTTTCTTTATCCGTGACTTAGAGCCTATTGCATCACTCATTTTTTCAAGTGAATATTTAGACGGCTTACCAGACATTTGGCTAGAGTAAACATATTGCGGCGCCCGAAGTCGAAGCGAATTGGACAAAACGACATGTCCAAATTGGCTTGTGGATTATTCTACTGTTTAATTTTTCACTTCAGAGCACCACTGGGACATGACAATTCCAGGGTTTCCAACTTCACAAGAGAAGGCAATAAAACGGCCTTTCATCACGCAGGCCCACAGACAACACCTGGCTCTCCTACAGAAACAAGTCAAACGGAGCTAGACACTGAAATCTCCCCCTTGTTCTCTAACGCCTTTAATGTACATACTGGTATTGCGGAGTATTTGCTTTAATATAAATCAAAATTACACGGTTGCGTATATGTATGGTGTTGGGGAATTATCAAAGTGATATCGAAGTAAGTCAATTAAGCCCCTCGAGGAAATTCCGTCCTTTCGAATTTGTGCTCGTCACCTTCCAGTCGATAGGTGTAGAGGTTGATCATGGTATCTTGGATGTCCAAGAGCATAAAAGTCGGTTGTGGGTTCCTAAAAGGCAGAGGGAATTTAATCACTCGCCCCTCTTCCGAACACATGCTGAGTGTGGTTAGAAATCTTACGGTTGGAAGGGGGAGGAGGCCCCTGTAACAGATCCTGGGTTGAGGAAGATGCCACCATCATATTGGTAAGCTTCGGCTTTATGGGTATGACCAGAAATTAGAATATCAACATTAAGTTGTCGCCGAAGCATTGAAAGGCTTTCGCGGTTTCCGCAGGGTACAATTTGGTGACCATGGGTGAGGCCAATTTTTAAATTTCCAACTGTAAGAACTTTAGTCTCTGGGAAAGGCAACTGAAAGAGTTCGAGTAAAAAAAACAAATACCTGATCAAAATCACCCTTGACAACATGGACATCTGTACAGATAAATTTTAATTGATCATAGATAATTCGACTTGTAAGGTTGCCCGTGCAGTAAACGTGATGAATTTTACCAGGGGAGAGAAGGGCTTTAAAAGCAGAATGAATGCAAACGGTGCGATCCGGAATGTGGAAATCTCCGATTACTAATACGAGCTACACAAATTATTATTAGTATGGTGAATTAAGGCATACCATGGTGATTAGTAAAGGAAGCAGAACTTGATTTACAGCATCAAGTAACAAACTAGAAGCATACAAAATCAAAGCAATATTAGAAAACACAAAAATATGAGAAAGCTGTGGATATATATATATATTTATATAACACAAGACTTAAAAAATGGGGTATGATACTCGTTAATTTGAGTATTCCAAGCAAGAACAAGTTGTCAGAAACTCAAAAAGATTAGAAATTGCAAATAAGATCAAAATTACGAATACTCGCGTCAATTACCCAAGTGAGAAATACGCGGTAGGGTGAAACCGAAACTAGGACGAAATTAACCAATCATCTTTATCTCATGCTTTTCGACCCAATCACAAGCTAGGATACTGGCAGGTCCAATGACAGTGACCCAGGGATAGGCAGAGGCAGGGCATTAACGTAAAGAAAGGACATAAATACTTAAACAATCAAAATGAGGGAAAATTATCAGCACAAGTGAAATCAAACTGTGCGAATGTAATGATGCTAATAAACCTTAAATGACGTCGCAAAAGATCACCATAGTACAGTAATGATTTAATTTTTTTGCAGCATTTATAATAATATGCCACTTAAATTTAATTCATTATATTCTCATAATCAAATTTTAGTTTAGTTTAAATTGGTTCTTTTCGAAGGTAATTTAATTATAATATAAACGGTAATAATTATGCCCAAACCCAATTCATTTCACAAATTTCAAATTTTGTTTGAGACATTTTTTTGTACTTAAGTAATATCTAGATATTGTTGTTAAGCGGTACTAGTTCATTCGGATATATTTTTAATTCGCTTGAAAGAACTTAGTCACTCATGCTGTTAGATTGCTACGGAAGTGGTCTGGAAACCGCATAAATTTTCGTGCTGTCGCAAATATTATTTCTTTAGACACCAAACACATCTAGTCATTATTTGGATCATGTCATGACACTCGTTTGGTTCTCACTCACACAAACATGCAGTTAATTGTAAAAGCTGTTGCCGAATTCTTATTGATTGAAGGTCCGCAAAGTAGGATTGACGAATTCTAATATTATCAAATACATTTCGAAATAATTTTGCCAACATTTTCTGTTTCGGAGTAATGATTTCGGGATTTATGAAAAAATGCTTTACCATAATTAATCGAGGGTAATGTCACAAACAATGTCATGAAGCTTTAGTTTTTGTTTGTAGTCAGGGGAGAGAGAGAAACTCAATCTGATTAATTCCAAATGCAAACTGTAAACAAGCAATAAAGTAAACAATCAATTAATTTCCAATCATAGTTCCTAACATAGGTAGAGAATATGGTCATAAATATAAGCGGGTATAAAAATCATTAAAATAATAATAATAACTGAGGTTTTTGTGAAAACAATATGTCGAAAATGATTGAAATCGCTAGTCTTTTCTTGCAAAATCGACTGATTAGATAAACTAATATAATATGTTTTGACATCGAGATAGCTAATTATTCAACGGAATTTTTTTAGAATTCGAGGGAAATAGTCGCGTACCGGTTTTCAAATGTATTGAGATATTCTAAGCACATCAACCCAGCATTAACCCAAGATGCGTATTTGTGCCCCACTTTTAAGTTTGTTGAATGTTTAAGTACGCAAGTAAATTTCACTCCATTAATTTTCGGAATTTATAAAGTGTAGCTTTGTTAGACCTTAGTGATAAAGCCTGAAATATATGGCATATATAGCTAAAATCAAACTCTGATAACATATTTGTCTTTTATTAGAGGATACCAAGTGCACATCAAAATTTGGTCCATTTTGTAAAATCTTCACTTCTTATCTACGGAAGATAAAGGAAAATGTACTTTAAAGATTATTTTTGTCTTAAATAGCATAGCGGGGTACACATAGTAAATAGAACTCATTTTTACGAAGTCAGTGAAAGCGACGAAGTTTAAACTCATGCATTTTATTTAGATTACCTTGAAGTTATTTCAAGCAATCGGTTTAGTTAAGCTAGGAATATTTAAACAAAAGCAGTAAAAGAAAAGATATATTCCCATCAACTGAATTATGAAATAATATTTCTTTTAATTAGAATTACCATACCTAAGAATGCATTTATAATGTTTTCACCTACCTGTTTGAAATTTTTTAATAAGATAAATAAGGTATATCTTAAAAAGTTAACTAAGAGTTCTTAAACATTTACCAACCTTGCATAAATATTAAACGCTCTAATTTTAGGGAATGGTCTAATTTAAATTATTTGCGCAATTTTATCGATTTTTTGGGTGGTTGCTAAGATTGTAATTTATGGTGTGCACAAGCGTTATCTAACCATCTCTGATGCTTTTACCTAGATAAAGGAACAAAACAAATTGTGGCTTAGGTAACTCTTCACAAAATCTCAGGTGCTTTTCCACTCTTATAAAGGCCCATTCTGCAAGATATTTCTTGATGAAACTGTGCACTAGAACAGCTGGTCCTCAAAGTTCTTATTAAATCTTAAGTTGTACGTGCTTCTCATAAGGTGCTTCCTACTTCAAAACTAGATCTAGTGGTCATTGACCATATGAAGTTGCATTTATCCTTCCGACGAGGCCTTTTCCCTTCTAAAGTTATTCCAGCATGACGTATCTCCAAACCTAACATGTAAAGTACAACCTAACAAGTGAAGTACAACCATCAGTCCTGACATTCTGTCTGCTTTACCACCAGTGCAAATAAATCATCCTGCCTTGATTGCGGTTGCTATACTGTTAACTATTTCAGAACCCTTCAAGTAATACCTTAAGGTTAAATCACAAAAGTGTCTTGGACACTGTAACCACAATCAGGCTAAAATCATGATTTTTCGCCTCATACACGAAGGGAACAATACCAAAAATAAATACCCAAATTGGAGGCGAGGCCAAACAAACAAGTACACGAATCCCCATTTCCCCTATGATACCTTTATATGCACTCAAACTTAAGTGTCATAGATTTACATTGATATCCTCATGTCTTATCCTGGTGAATTCAGATTCAAAGCGCCCTGAGGTTATATTCAATTAGTCGGCCACAACCGATATTGCCGATAATAATATCCACCTGGCAAGCCAAAAGCTATTGCCCCAGGAATATTATCCAGTTCTCCTATACTCGATGCGAAGAGTTTCGTCTTACTCTATTTACCTTCTTATCACACTCTCCCTCGATTCCCAATGTTCAGGATGAGTAACCCTCAGACGATGAGCAAAGGAAACTACTCATGTTACAAGATTAGGGGGGGGGAGAGAAGTGGAAGAGTTTCAACATCTTATAAACCAAAGGTACTTGACAGTACCCTCTGTTGGTGCCCAAATTTGGTACTCCATCATGGGCACATCCGTTCTTGAAAAGCAGTCGTAATTTTGAAACGAAATCGAATTTAAAGGAGATCAATGAAAACGCGTGTGAGCGCATTTCGCGATAGAATCACAAATAGCCGGTGATTCAGCACAATAATCTGTCAGATGGCTAGTTCGGACTTTTCAGGAGGCCTAGAAAAGATTCAAGGTAGATTCGACTCTTGAAAGATTGAAGAACCAACCTTGATCAGGAGACATAGGATGAAATGAATCAATTTTATCCATGAAAATCAACTTAACTGCTTTTTCTTAATTAATATATGTGCAATTTTTAATAGTAATTTAAATGCGTTAGATGATAAGGTTGTTCCTTGCCATAATTTATAGCCTTAAGCCTGCCTTAAAGGCAGTTACGTGCTGTTATTGAGGTCTTGGGTTTGTGGTCATTTTTGGTGCTACCGAGCTTATAGTTAAAAGATACATTGGTAATTAGTTTTTTTAAAAAAAAATAAAAATAAGAATTAGCCTTACATTTTGACTTTTTCAATTATTTATGAACCTTTGTTTATGACATGCGTATATTTTTATGCAACTGTAATTTCTTTGGATTTCGAAATTTTTATTCTCAATCTCAAATAAATCAAGCAAAGGACTGAAACTAGGTCCAATTACTTGTCTTCAGCATCCGCAGTTCCGCTGGGTTCCGACTCTTCGTTCTTTTCACTTTCGGTCGCAACTGAATTCGAGGATTTGTCCTCACTTGCGGATCTACTTTCAATCACTTCATTAAAAATTTCACTAAATCGAGTGAAGTCCTGTTCTCGAATGACAATCGAATTCCTCATACTTCCACTCAACTCAGAGATTCTCAAGAAGACTCCATTGCGATTGGATCCCAGATCAAAGTAGATTATCATGTTGCCAGACTGCAAGACTTTACTTTTTTCTGGCGTGGAAGTTAGTTCAATATCACTGAAAAACTCTTTGAGCATTCCCTTAACAGTTTCTTGAATGCTCTTTATTCCTTCACAAGGAATGATAACATTAGCTCGAGAACCGTTTGAAAGCATAGAAACTCGGAGAAATCGCATTCTTTCGTTTTCTTTTACATCCAAGAAATATCTGCGACTATCCTTGACAATTGTGAAAGACTTCAGGAGACCCTCAGGGGCCAAATTCTTTGGATCATGTTCCGGCAGCGAGGAGAGAACCAGTTGAGCCTGGTCCAATTTGTCAACAAACTCCTTGGCTGCAGTAGCAGACATGAAGACACGAGCCTTTTGACCACTCACTGAGCTTTCAGTAATTTTGATGAAACGACCTTGAGCATTCTCTTTCACATCAAGGTAGTATCGACGATTTTGCACATTGATGGTCTTAGAGATCAACTCTTTTTCCGAATCCTGGATTTCCTTCTTCGCTTTCTCTATGCTATCCGACATTTCCACTTTAGTTCAGCTAGAAGAATAAGTAATTAAAAAAACAGCATTTATCAGGGTTATGGCTAAAAGCTCGTAATAACATAAGGCTCTTTCAAGTTGCTTATATATATATATATATATAATTCATTTCAGAACAAACCAAAATCTATCTGCTCTCGAATTTTTTATAGCATTTAATTGAATATCTTGGGCTTTTATACTGCAGTGTAAGCTTATGATGTCTTATTAACGAAGCGTGAACACGTGATAAAAACCAGAAAGGCCCGTTTCAGACTTTAAATTAAAATTCATATGATTTACTCATCACTTTTTTTGAAGAGATGGACCATTTTAGACGTTGCCTTGGATTGGTAAATGTGAAAGTTTAAAGACAAAGTAGTTAATAAGGCACGACTTCACAGAATGAATAAAATGACTATGTTTTTTCGGCAAAAAGTCGTGCGCTGATTTCGCGTTATATAAGTTCACACAGATCTGGAAATCGATGCGGGCTTTTCCAAATGCCTCGTCAACAAATCATTTCCCAATGCTCGTGTGATGTCTTCCACACTCCCCCCCTCTCTCTCTCTAGTTCTTTAAGTCATCTTAATTTTGAACCTCATATTTTTTCCTCTTAAGCTCAATATCTACCTCACGCAAAATGACCAACTCCTTTCTTGTAATATTATTATTATTATAACAAATGTCAGGCGTTTTGATTGTTATCATTAGCCCTTTAGTTGACTTCAGGCTTCACAGAGGGGATGGAACATCAAAGTGTAAAATATTCAAGAGGGGGGGGGGCAGAAGAGTGTATCAAAGACGAAGGTAGATAAGGTGGAAAAAAGGTGGGATGAGTACTGTGGAAGTAGTCGAATATGACATACAGTGGGGTCATGGTAGTTTGAAGTCAACTGCCAGGTAATAGACTTTTTTGCCGTATGAGTATACGTTGCCCAGGGTGCCCCACGTGGGGGTAAGTCTATCACACGCCCCCCTTTCTTGTAATATAGTGGAACGTGGATGAAAGTTTAAACTGAATTTCCACTTAGAAGAAGAGAGAGAAAACTGCAGGGTTTATAATAACTCAAAGTGTTGGTGGCAGCTCAAGAATTTTAGTCTACCATGAAAGTACTGAACAGACACTCATTTTAGGAATCAATTCCAAACTTAACGGACTTAACGCAAGTGAAACAAAAGAGTGGAAAAGGAAAGTAATTAGCTGATCACGACAATAGCTGCAGACTCACAAACCCCAGGTGTGTGAATAACAGTATATGCCAGTCGACAGTCTTTTAGAGGCATTGTAAATCAAATATGACAGACACTTGCTCTGAATACTCTAATTGGATAGATCAGTGGAGCAAGCACAATTCAAAGTGGCCTTAAGCAAAACTGTCTGCGAATAGGCAAAAATCGAAGATGCCAACCCTGATAAAGCGTCCCAATACTGATAGTTATATTTCCTTATCTGGAGTGTGCGATAGACTTACCTCCACGTGGTGCACCCTGGGCAACGTATACTCATACGGCAAAAAAGTCTATCACTCGGCTTTCGTTATATTCATACGGCAAAAAGTCTATTAACTGGCAGTTAACTACGATAGACTTACCTCCACGTGGTGCACCCTGGGCAACGTACTTTCTTACGGCAAAAATTCTATCACTCGGCATTCGTTTTTCAATAGACTTACCTCCACGTGGTGCACCCTGGGCAACGTATATTCATACGGCAAAGTCTATTAACTGGTAGTTGACTTCTCCGCATACGGCAAAAAAGTCTATTAACCGGCAGTTTTCTTCTCACTTCAAACTACCATGACCCCCCTATATGTCCTACATTCTCATACGGCAAAAAAGTCTATAAACCGGCAGTTGACCTATGACTACAAACTACCATGGCCCGACTGCATTTCATATTCGACCCATTCCACTGCTCATCTGACCCTTTCTGAGCCTTTGTGTCTGTTTCTTTTACATCTTTGAAACGCCATTCTATTCCCCCTCCTGAATTCTTCTCCTCCTCCTCCCCTGTCGAAGTTCCCCCTCTTGAATTTTTCTCACTTTGATGTTCCTCCCCTCTGTGAAGCCACCAGAAGTCAAATAAAGGGCTAATGATAACCATCAAAACGCTTCTAAGGGGCTAATAATAACTATCAAAACGCCTGCCATTTGTTATAAATAAATAAATAAATATTTCCTTATCTTCCTCAATTTGTTTCAACGTATTAATGTTTCAAAAATATTGATTATACTTATGTGATTAACTATCTGGGAGTTATTTTTTCAGTGTTTACATCAGAAAATTGCTTTATAGCATTTTAAATCGGTTGATTACTTTCATTTTATATTAATAAGCAGTTTAGCCTGTCGAAGTTAATGCTTAATATTCATGTTATTTTTTCCTGATTGGCTTTCGCCTCAAATAATACGTTGACGATCGGATGTTGGCCTAGTCTCTATTATACAGCAAATATGAAACCGAACTTCTGCTTTTCCTTGGTTCAGGAGTATTTTTACAATAGAAACAGAACATATCTTCTCAGCCTTTGGAGAGGCTGGTAAAATAGTATTTTTACCAAATTACGATTACAATAGGCTAGTTAATAATAGTCGACATTAAATTCT